CGGCTTCCGCCCGACATGTCCCCGACGTTTATTCCTACACACAGTGGCCAGCGAGGCCCCTCAACTCAGGGGCGGCCCTCTCGTTCGAGACTTTCCCGAGAATCACTCAAGTTGGCGGAGGCCCCACTACGACGACAGCGGCACCTGTTTGATACGCCCTCACAATTTACTCCGAGAGGCCCTGACCAGAAAGATCACCGAACTCAGGACTGGCCCCTCCTTCGATGCTTCCTCGCAAGCTCAGTGAAGTTGGTGGAGACCCAACTACGACGATAACGGATCCCGCTCGGCACGTCCTCGCGATTTACTCCGAGAGGCTTTGGCCAGAGAGGCCCCGAACATCAGGAACTTTTTTCCCCAGGGACGCCCTCACAATTCAGTTAAGAGTGTGGAGGCCCAGTTACGGCGACTACCGCTCACGTTCGACACGTTCTCGCGATTTACTCCGAGACGACATGGCCAGAGAGGCCCCCAAACTCAGGAATGGCCCTCTCCCTCAGGACTTCCTTGTAAACCAGGCAATTTGATGGAGGCATCTCTGCGACGACAGTGGCTCCTGTTTGACACCTCCTGGCAATTTACCCAGAGAGGCGCCTAGAGTCCGCAATGATCCTCCCTCTATCGAGACGTCCTTGCAATTCAGTTACCTCGGTGGAGGCCCAATTGTGACGACAGCGGCTCCCGATCGGCACGTCATCGCAATGTTTGCTCGGACGCCATGGCCAGAGCGGCCTCCAAGCTCAGGAGTGGCGCTCTCACTCGGGACATCCTCGCGACTCGAGCAAGTTGGGGGAGGCCCAACCACAACGAAAACGGCTCCCTTGGATACTTCCTCACAGCTGGTTCAAGGGGCACGCCATCCCGCCGACCCTCAGAAGCGGATATGTGCGGCTTCCGTTTTCGCGCGCGCGCGTGTGCGTGTGCGTGTGCGTGTGCGTGTGTGCGTGTGTGTTGTGTGTGTTGTGTGTGTGTGTGTGTGTGTGTGTGTGTGTGTGTGTGTGTGTGTGTGTGTGTGTGTGTGTGTGTGTGTGTGTGTGTGTGTGTGTGTGTGTGTGTGTGTGTGTGTGTGTGTGTGTGTGTGTGTGTGTGTGTGTGTGTGTGTGTGTGTGTGTGTGTGTGTGTGTGTGTGTGTGTGTGTGTGGGGGGGGGCTTAATTCGCTGAACGGCAGCCCCGTTTCGCTTCCTCGCCAGCGCAGTGACTCTGCCCAGCCGCCGACGTGAAAGTGTGTGTGGGTTGCTGTTGCTGCCCCCCTCCAGTGCCCATGGTACGTTGAATCGAAGTGCCCCTCCCGGGGCTCGCACCTGGCTTTCACCAGGGAGAGCACTGCCGCCGTTTGCGAAATCAACGCCCACGTGTGGAAGTACCGAGAGCCCCGCCCCGCGCCCCGCATTTCAATGTTGGCCACCAAACACGCCGAAGGGGAGTGCGAAGCGTTGCGAAATCAACGCCCACTTATGTTGGACTGCCCCGCCCTCCCCGTCAACCTTGAAACACGGGGGAAGGGGGGCGTGCTTCGTCGTCTTGTCTTCGATCCCTAAGATGGGCGTTCATTTCGCAAACGGCGGTGCGTCTCCAAACGGTTTTGCTGGCTCTCCTGTCGGAGGGCACCAGCTATACACCAGCACCGATCCTGGCCCAGGATAGCCCTGGGCCCAGGATCGGTGCATATGCCTTCCTGCGCAAGGCAGGAGGGCGTGTGCACCGATCCTGGACCCAGGGTGCTCCTGGCCAGGATCGGTGTTGGTGTATAGCTGGTGCCTTCCTATATTGGGGCGCGCTCCGACCACGACATGCCGAGGCGCACCCCCCCCCCGCGGGCGACGAGGGCACACCGCGTGCGAGGGCGCCCGCACCTCTCGAGCCAGACGTGCTTCTTGCCTGATCGCGTCCCTCCCTCTCTCCCTCCCTCCCGCCCTCCTCCTCCTCCTCCTCCTCCTCCTCCTCCTCCTCCTCCTCCTCCCTCCTCCCTCCTCCCTCCTCCTCCCTCCTCTCCTCTCCTCTCCTCCTCCTCCTCCTCCTTCTCCTCTCCTCCTCCTTCTCCTCCTCCTCCTCCTCCTCCTCCGTCTCCTCCGCCTCCTCCTCCTCCCCCCTCCTCCCTCCTCCCTCCCTCTCTCCTCCTCCTCCTCCTCCTCCTCCTCCTCCTCCTCCCTCCTCCTCCTCCTCCTCCTCCCTCCTCACTCCTCCCTCCTCCCTCCTCCTCCTCCTCCTCCTCCTCCTCCTCCTCCTCCTCCTCCTCCTCCTCTCCTCTCCTCCTCCTCCTCCTCCTCCTCCTCTCCTCCTCCTCCTCCTCCTCCTCCCTCCTCCTCCTCCTCCTCCTCCTCCTCCTCCTCCTCCTCCTCCTCCTCCTCCTCCTCCTCCTCTCCTCCTCCTCCTCCTCCTCCTCCTCCTCCTCCTCCTCCTCCTCCCCCTGGCCCCCCAAACGGCCCACCGTAGACCGATAACGGCCTCTCGTACTTGGGGCGCGAGGAATCAGGGGCATCGGGGGCTGCAGCGGCCTGATAAAGGGGCCCCCGTGGAGCCCCGAAGGTTCACGATGGGTGCACCTTTCTTCCCCCCCCCCTGTTAGTCGCCGCCCCCCTGGCTCCGGGTCTGCGGTAATCTGGGCGATGTCGCAAGTCGGGCGGAAGTTCCTGTCCTGCTTTTCAAGCTCCTTGGATGCTGATTTCCGCCCTGCTTTGCCGCCGCTACTTCTGCTATACTTTTGCGGACATGTTCGCCCTACTTTTCTGAGGCGGGAACGTTCGCCCTCTTTCGAATCATTTGGGGTGAATTTCTGGCACATTCTTAACATCGGAGAATCAACCAAACTAAGGCGGATTTGGAGTCAGGGTGGGTCTCCCTCCGCCTCCGGAGGCCGCCCTGGAGGCCTCTCGGGAGGCCCCACAACGTGCTGCCAAGCTGCCATGCCGATGCCGCTGCTCCACGGGCCTCTGCCGAAGTGGGTTCTGACCAGGATTTCGGGGCGAATTCACCCGTGGCGCCGAGGGAAGGGCAGCGGTATCGGTATTTTTTCTTCCTCTGGAGGGGTGTAAATCACGTGCAACAAGCCCCAACCCTCGATCTCCGATCCCACGGGTGTCTGCTGTTCGGTCGGTTCGGCGGCGTCCCAGCCGGTTGCATTTGGTCGGTTTGGTTCGTCGGTTTCTGGGATGCTACCGCGCACTTCCGGCGTGCTGCTTCCCGTAGGTCTGGTGTCGGTCGGTTTCGGTTTCGCCGCCAGCCGTGGATCGGGGGAGGGCCAGTCGAGACAACGGCGGCTTTCCCGCCCAGCCTAAATCAGCTCGAGATCTTACTCCGTACCTCAAGCATTGGCGAAGCGTCTTGGCTCGCCTATAGGCCTACCAAACAATGTTCTAAGAACCTTGTGGGTTCCACGAAATGTTCGTAGAACATCTCTGGCTGGGCCTGTCTTGTTTTAACACGTCGGGTCTATGTTCTAAGAACACTGTTTTGCTCTTACAAGCCTCGTCAAAAATAAACAGAAACGAAGTTGGAAATCACGACGGTCGATCTTCTCGGGCACTTGTTAGAAACTGCGTTCTTCAATGCTGCGGCGGGGTTGTCGGATTTTTGAAGCCCTTGCGCCCACGTCAGATATCTAGCGTCAGCATTGGAGTAGCGCTGCCCATACAATCACCGAAAACAGAATCCCTCAGTTTATTTTTGACGAGGGTTGTAGAAGAGTTCTGGGTTCTACGAACATCCGTGGTAGGCCTATAGGAGTACCGGGACGGTCGGTCCCTGCTCAATGTACCCCTCTCGGAGTCCATGCCGACCCGTTGCTGCCAGCGGATTCGGCCGTGGCGACGAGCAGCCTCCGGGAGGCCCCCCCAGAAGGGCAGAAGGCGCCGTGGGGGGCCGCCGTGGGCTCGGCGGGCCCTTCCTTGCGACCTCCTCCTCGGCGAGTCGACTCCCTCCTCCTCGCCCTCCTCGCCCTCTAGTTCATCTAGTTCCCAAAAAGCGTGGTCGGCTCGGCTAACCACACCCGCCTATGCAAAGCAGGCTCCGCCCCGAAGGCGAGGGCCCAGGCCTCACACCTCGGGGCCCGGAACAGGCTGTAGAGGACGGCCCCCCCCGAGAACCCGCCTCAGTCCTCGGAGGCGGCCGCCAAAAACCCGGGTTCGGCCCTCCTCGCCCTCCTGCTCCTCACCTTGCTCCTCCTCGAACTTGAGTTGGTGGTATCGGGGTTCGGTGACGAACGCTGCCAGACCCCCCCCACGGCCTTCGCCACGGGGGGTGGGGGGTGAGGGCGGAATGAGATGTTAGCGGGAAGTGTGCAGACGCCTCCACGGGTAGAGGCAGCTAGGACCTCCAGCGTCCCCTGGATGGTGGACTTTCCTCATTTTCCTCCTCACCTTCCTGCTCCTCCTTCTCCTCCTCGTTGTTTTTGTTGGTGTTGGACGGAAATAAGTTGTACAGCTGTGGTTTTGTTCTCTCCCAGAAATGCAGTGAGTGTGCGATCAAATCAGATAAGCAATACCACCTTGGAAGACTACGCAGGAATATGCGGTGCGAAGATGAAGTTGGGAAACCCTCGCGGGCATAGAGTACCAGACTTTCAGGCGTCGACAAGGTTGTTCGGAGCAGCTTTGGCGTCTTCCTGCAGGCTCCACGGCAGGCCTGGGCGGGACCCACGCCCTCTTTGTTACGCTGGTTTCCTCCTCCTCCTCCTCCTCCTCCTCTTCCCCCTCCTCCTCCTCCTCCTCCTCCTCCTCCTCCTCCTCCTCCTTTTCTCCTCCTCCTCCTCCTCCTCCTCCTCCTCCTCCTCCTCTCCTCCTCCTCCTCCTCCTCCTCCTCCTCCTCCCCTCCTCCTCCTCCTCCTCCCCCTTTTCTCCTCCTCCTCCTCCTCCTCCTCCTCCTCCCCCTTTTCTCCTCCTCCTCCTCCTCCTCCTCCTCCTCCTCCTCCTCCTCCTCCTCCTCCTCCTCCTCCTCCTCCTCCTCCCCCTCCTCCTCCCTTGGCCGGCCCTCCTCCGAGGATCTTCGGCCTCGCCGTCAGGCCATGCCGCGGCTGCCGCTCGCGCTGCCCGCGTGCCTCTCGGCCGCTCTCGCCCTGGCGGTCCTGCCAGCGGGCGCGCGGGCGGCGAGCCCTATGGAACGAGGCGACGACGCGATCCTCGGCGAAGACCAAGGCCCTCCTTTGCTCCTCAAACTCCCCCCTCCTCAATCCCCTCACGTTCCTCCTCCCCCTCCCCTCCTCCTGCTCTCCTCCTCCTCCCTACTCCCCCTCCTCCTCCACCTCCTCCTCCTCCCTCCTCCTCCTCCTCCTCCTACTCCTCCTCCTCCTCCACCTCCTCCTCCTCTTCCTCCTCCTCCTCCTCTCCTCCTACCTCCTCCTCCTCCTCCTCCCCACCTCCTCCTCCTCTTCCTCCTCCTCCTCCTCCTCCTCCCCTCCTCCTCCTCCTCCTCTCCCTCCTCCTCCTCCTCCACCTTCTCCTCCTCCTCCTCCTCCTCCTCCTTCTACTCCTCCTCCTCAGTCGCTCAGTCGGTCGGCGCGCAGGACGGTCGATGCGCAGATGGAGAGATGATGAACAGAAGACCAACGGCTGGTCGACCAAGCGCGCAGCGCCGTCCTGCCCGAACCGCATCCGAACATACGGGCGCACTATCACTCACAGCTGGTGAAACCCGAGACCGAATAGGGCGGAAAAGAATGGATGGAAGAGCAAAGACCTTCCCCCACATCCCCCCCCAATTACTCTTAAGTCGGGCCTGTCCCTCTACAGGAGGATTATCCAAAAATAGTCAAAAATAGTCCGGGAACGATTTTTTGGGAGCATTGTTTGACCATTTTGGTGATTTGTTTGACCTCTTTTGTTCTTTCGTCCAAAACGAGCCCCTTGTTGGAGGACAGGCCCGACTTAAAATGACTGTCAGAGGCGCAGTCGGGCCCGATGGGTTCCGACACCACGTGCAGGTGTTGCCAGGAAGGTGGCGCGCCAGGCGGCGCCCTTGGGCTCGGCAGTCCTTCGCTGCACTGCCCCTCGCTGGGAGGCGGGGCGCTGCGTGGGCGGCTAGGATTGTTGAAATCGATTAATGGAGAGGAAGCATGCTGCCAAATGATTTCCAGATGTCTGAAAGATGTGTCCGTGTTGTAACTCTGTGAAAAAAACATGTTTGAAACATGTTTCGAGCATGTTTTGTGCATTTGAATACGTATTTTCTTCAATGATCGGATTGTCAGAGTGTCCATTGTCACGGTATCCGCAAGGCTAAGAGAGAATGACCTGAGCAGCAGTCCGCAGGGAGCGTACATGGACATTATAGATTCGAACCCTGTGGCCCAAGATGCCCCCCAGACCCCCCGAAATTGATATTGATGGCGTGGCGACGGGGGGGCGTGAGTGGACAGAACTCTTCGAGCCCCAAGGCACCGCCGTGGATGAGATCGACATGGATGTCGGGGGCGCGGGGGTGATTTAGAATCTCCCTCGAGGGAGGGGAGTAGGATAGTGTAGGGGGCCACATGGGGTAGGGTTCGCATGTGGCCCCCTATAGTGTCCTCACAGTGGCACCGGCGTTTTCGACAAAAAAGGACGCCCAAGCACAACGCCTGGAAGGCGGCGCAAGAGCGCCCCCCGCGTACGGAGCAGGTCGCGGTCTGCAAGTGTTGGCGTCTTTTTTTCGAAGCGACTCGCACTCCCCCTCTCGTTGCGAAACAACATGCGCAACCCGTGGGGAGGAGACCTCTGGTCGCCTGGGCCCCCAAGGTCCACGCCCTCACGCAACTTGGCTTTACGTTCCACAGACATCTCAATGGGCCAGGAGCCAGGACTCGTTTCGATTCCTTCGAGTCCATTCGATTCGACTTCGATGGCTTCCGATTCCGATTCGATTCGATTTGGGATTCCGATTTGGGCGCCGACTTCTCACTGGAGGCCTACTAGCCTGCCGATTTTCGCCGATTCGACTTTTCCCGACTCGGCTGCCGATTTCCGCCGGTCCGATTAATTTCGATCGCCGATCCGACTTGCAGATTCGATTTTGGGCTCTCCTGAGGAGCAGGGGGATATAGAAATTGGGCACGGGTCGAGTAAGTCCTAAGTTCGGGCCATCTCTATCTCTCTATCGCTTTCTTTCTCGCCTCGTGTGCCAGAGCCGCGGCCGTGGTGAGGCAACGATCTGAGGGTACGCTTTAGCACGGGCCGTGCTCCAAACGTTGTTTGGGGTCAGACCTCCAAGATGAGGATGGGGTTTGGGATGGTTGTACAGGGAGCTGGGCCCCGGCCATGGCCTGTAGTCTAGTCTCCATCGAAGAGAAGTGCACGCACAAGAGTACAGTTGGTCTGAGAACATTGGCACCAGGCTTGCAATGATGAGTGAGATGCTGAGAAGCGCCCTGTCAGGCTACGAGGGCTCGAACCTCAGGCAAGAGCCGCTCACTCGGGCATCCTGGAACACGTGTGCTGCGCGCAGGACGCTCCGAGATTGCGGGTACTCCATGACGCCGTGCTCCATAGGAAAGCAAGACGGATGTGCGCAAGAGACGGGCCCATAGAGTCGCGACGGCGCACTGGGTCTGCGGCCGCTGCGGCTGCTACGGACCTGCGGCGGCTGCTGCTGCTGCTGCTGCTGCTCCTCCTCCTCTTCCTCCTCCTCGTCCTCCTGCTCCTCCCCCTCCTGCTCCTTATCCTCCTCCTCCTCCTCCTCCTCCTCCGCCCCCTCCTCCTCCTGGACAGGTGGCCCAAACCCCACAGGTGCCCGTCAGAGCGCAGGGGGGGCGCGGGGGCCTCTGGGCAGCCGCATCGGGACGGTGCCGCGCCGCTGCCCCACGATCCGCACGAGGGCGCCGCGGCAACCCCGGCCGCCCTCCCATCTCTGAGCATGTCTAGCCTTGCGGAGGACGATCAATGGAGAGGAAGCACGTTGCCAAACCATTTCCAGATGCATGTGTTAAACATGTACTAAGCATGTTAACAAAAAAATCATGCCTTAAACATTGTCAGGACACTTTTCCGACGCCTTGAACACACCTTCAGTTCGATGACAGGGCTGTTAGGGTGTCCATGGTCGTCGCATCCACAAGTCCAGCCAAAGGGCCACTGCATCGGGGAACGTGAGGTCACCCAAGGTAGGACGATTCCCAACACCAGTGCTGAGCACATCTGCAATGTGCCAGGCGACTGGGCCCCTGGGCCCAGAGGCGGCCCACTCTTCCGAAAAAGTCCTCCCCCTCTTCCTCGTCCTCCGCCTCCTCCTCCTCCTCCTCGTCCTCGTCCTCCTCCTCCTCCTCCTCCTCCTCCTCCTCCTCCTCCTCCTCCTCCTCCTCCTCCTCCTCCTCATCCCCCCCCCCTGGTACGGACTGTGTCCCGGGCGCTCCGAGGCCCCTCGGGGGGCCCTCGGGGGTGCTTTTGGAGCGCCCGCGCGCGCTCCCGAGACGATCCAATGACAGCTTCCGAGGTGGTCCAGGAGCGCTGTCGGCGGGGAATGAACTCGCCCTTTCTTCTCCTCCTCCTCCTCCTCCTCCTCCTCCTCCTCCTCCTCCTCCTCCTCCTCCTCCTCCTCCTCCTCCTCCTCCCCCTCTTCTCCAGGAGCGCTCCAAGACCCCCTGGGCTTCCAGGTGACCCACGAGGCCCCCAGGGGCGCCCCGAAGGGGTTCCAGGAGGGCCCCAAGGAGGCCCCAGACTGCACCAGAAGGCCCCCAAGACGGCCCAAGCGAGCCCGAAGAGGGACCCGAGAGAGACCCAAGAGGGAGAACGCGAAGTGTCATGTCGAGCCTTCCACCCCAAGGTGACCCACGAGACCGCCAGAAGGTCTCCAAACGGCCCCAAGACGCCCCTGGGAGGCCCGAAAGAGTCCCGAGAGACTTCGAAGTTGCTTCCAGGAGGCGCCCGAGAGGCATCCCAAGAGAAGCTGACCTGCATTAAATCGGCCTCTGGCCGACAGCCGGGGCAGGGGGTATGGAGAAGCAAGGATGGAGGACTGGGAGAAGGAGGAGGAGGAGGTGGAGGAGGGAGGATGACGCAAAGGTGCAAGAGGAGGAGGAGGAGGAGGAGGAGGAGGAGGAGGAGGAGGAGGAGGAGGAGGAGGAGGAGAAGGGCGGAGAAAAGAGTAAGGACGGGGACAAGGGGGGAGGCCCAGGATTGCTGCACCGTCGAGCAGGATGTTGTCCACCCGAACTGTTCCCCCGACGCCCAACGCGCTTCGTCAAAACACACCGCGGACCACACCCATCAGCAAGGGCGCCCTCGAGGGCGCGAAGTTATTCGCGCTTCGCGCTTCGCGGTTCGGCTCCGATTCCTCATCCTACTCTTCTCCCCTTGGAGGCGGCGCGAGAGCGCGAAGTTATTCGCACTTCGCGCTTCGCGCAGCGCGAAGCGCGAAGCTGGGAGCCCTTGCATCAGTGAACACCATCTCTCAGACATCGGTGGGCCCTGTCGTTCCTTTGTGGGGGCGCGCCGGGTGTCCTCCCCCCCCAGGGCGCCTTGGGCGGAGGCCGAGAGCTCCCAGCGCGGGGGGGGGGGCCCAGGAGGCTTCTCTTCCCCCGTCTTTCTATTTCCCCCGCCGCCATTTTCCAGCCTCTGCCGTTTTGCGGCCCCCCGTGAGCGCTCCCCGCCCCCCCCCTCTGCCGCGAAGAACAATTGCGGGGGGGGCGGCCTGGTGGAGCGCGTTCTGACCACCTTTTTGATTTCTGGGGCAATATCCCCCGACGCGAAGGGCGGTCACGGGGGCGGCGCATTTCTGAGCATTTCATACAAGACTCGCCAATAAAACAACTGACGGCTTTTGTTATCGGCGTTTGTGTTGTCTACGTCAATCCAATGTAGACGTGACCGAGAACCGGAAAACACCCTCACAGCGTTGAAACACATTTTCGTTTGATAAAATGTCCGCGCGATCGAGCGCCGCGATTTTGAGCGGCGTGTCCAAGATTAGTTAAACATGTAGTCACGTTTCTTTGTTTCGGCGCTTGTGAGGTCGGCGCCATTTCAATGTTGGCGCGATGTACTTGGCCCAGACGCAGCGGTGTCCGAAACTCGGCAGAACCCTCACAACATGACATGACGCGTTTTCAGAGAAGTGTCCGAAGTATCGGACGCCACGATGTCCAACGGCTTCTCAAAGGCAAGTGCTTGCAGGAACCAAATCGCGCGCGAGAAGCGCGTGGTTCTGGTGATAAGCGGGTCGGAGAACGAAGCGGGAACTTGTCACAGTGGTGTTGCGTGCCCCCCGCCCTCTCTTTGTGCCCCGACAGCATGTGCATGCTATACTCAATGGGTCTCGCAGGGAGCGGTGCCAACCGTGCAGTCCCTATACATTCTTGTTCCCCAGAGGCATTGGCTCAGGGTCCTATAAAGGGGGTCCGAGGCATCGCATCCACGGGGGGTCGATCTTCGGCTGCTGGTCGGAGCGTAGAGGTTGCCCGCGATCTCCTGCATGCTGAAACGTGGCCTACTTGTTTCGCAGGCTTGCAGATTGCTCCAGCATCTCTTGCGCGACCTTGGCAGCACCAGCCCGTTGTCAGCATAACTGGTCATTTGTGGAGTCTGTGAGGGCCGACGGGCCCAGCGGGTGCATCAAGGAGGAATCCAGAGGCGATGTTTGACAGCTCCGCGGTCCAAACAGTTAGGCGCTCCTGGTCGCATGGGCGAAAGTGGTGCTGAGCCTAGCCACATGGGCCAGTGGTTCGTTCCCTGCCGTTCCAAGCCAGGCGCGCAAATCGTCGCGCTCTGGCAGGTCCCATTGTCAATCGCGACATCTGATCCAGTATTGTTCGAGAAGTGCCACCCATCCTTGTGGGTCAGTCAAGGTCAATTTTGCTGGGGCCCGCGCTGCTGGATGCGCTTTGGTCGTAAATATCAAGGCAGTCCGTAGGCGCGCCGCGCGTGGGATGGCTGAGGGAGGAAGCCTGCCAACATCGAGCAAAGCTTGCGCAGTGGTTGCGTGTTCCCCATTGCTGGCGCTGGCAATGGGTAGTGCCATCCTGTGAAGGTGAGCTGTCAGACTTGCCTTTCCTGAGCTCCAGTGAGTTTTGTTCAGGTCGTGGCCCCGAGAAATAGGATTGAAGAGCTGAGGGCTCTAGCAAGCACAACCTTGGCCCTCATAGGCAGAGCGTTCTTGGGTGTCGCGCTGGCTTTAATTGACTTTAGTGCTCCCCTGGCCGAGCATCGGGCCTACAGCATCGATCTGGGACGCCAGGACCTTCTGCAGCTGAACCACGCAAAGGTCATATTTAACATCCGAAATATTTTCTCTGGAAGGAAGGCATGCGTATTCCAGTCGCGTCGCGGCAGAGGCAATCCGCTCGTGCGCTCTAGCAGCTTGGGCAGAGCGTGCTGCTTGTCCGGCTGCAACAGAAACAGACAGGGCGGACGGCGTCCGCGGAGAGGAGGAGACAGGGCGGGTCCGGCGTCGGGGCAAAGTCGTACCCAAGTGGGCGACCCCTCGGCCCGGGCTGAGTCGCTGGCAGAGCCACAGAGCTTTTTTATAAGATCGGTTTTTCCATGCGTTCGCCTGCCTGCCGGCGCGCGCACAGCGGCTCGACACGCTGGCCCCGCGTCACAGAAAGAGGGCACTCACAGCACGAATGTCGTTGGCATGGGCGGCCGGCGCGGCCGACCGTTGCTGAGGCGTCCTGTCAGTGGACGCGGAGCAGCGTCGCGCCCGCGCCCAGGGGCTGAAGCAAAGGCTGCAGACGCTGGAGGCATGGAACAGGCCAACCAGCGCACAGTGGAAAGGCGAGCTAGTAATGAAGGCTCCCGAGTGTTCGTCAAGAGGCCATGCTGCCAGGCATTCAAACGCACAGCGGCTGCACGCTGCAGAGAGGCCAGGGCCGACGGGCTGGCCAGCGAGTCGATCGCGCAGCGCCGCGAAAATAAGCATTAGCTGTTTGGTCTTTACTGCGTTGCGCATGCAAATTACTCTGCAGGCGCTGTCGCGCTAGATGTGTAAGCGTCTCGACCTTGGGCAAGAACAGCGAGGCCGTCCACAAAAGACATGTCTTTCTTGGCATTGTCCCAGTCTACTTCCAGGCGGCACGCGTCCCTCCGAGTGCCCTAGTGGGCATTCCCTTGGCGGTCCATATCCACTGCAAGTTCTCGCCGATGATATCTGAAACCCGCAGCGCCGTCCGGAATGTTGACGATGTGCTCGCGGACGCGAGCCCCAGGGGGCTTGCGCATCGGCGGAAGAAAGCGCAGCTGCTACACTTCCATCGGATTCGTCTTGTCACGCTTTGACGATTCGTCGGCTGACGCCGCTCCGCCGCCCCCTTGGGGCAGCAAGAAGAGTGAAGAACAAAGTTTGCGGAACGCGCGCCGTCTCTGGTGAATCTTGGGGTTTCAGCTTCTTGGGATTTCGTCGGGGACTGTTGGCGGATCGCTGCTCTGCTCCTGGGCTTCTCTGGGCTCTCCTGGCACCGCGTTGAGGCCTCTAGGGGCCTCTTTTGGGTCCCTTGGGGGCCTCGTGGGACTCTCTTGGGGGCCTGTTGGCGCCTCCTCGGGTTTTTTCGGGGCCGAGTGCTCGAAATGCCCATTCGGGTTCCCCCTCTGGGCCTCCTCTTGGGCCCGTCCTGGGGCCATCCATGTCGTGAAATTTCTTCAGCTTTTTAAGAGGAGTGCGCGCGGCGCTAAGGCGAGAACCACATTTTGAAAACGCCCCGCTTTCAATCGGGGAAATTCATGTAATTTGTTAAGACGAATGCGCACAGCGCTGAGGCGAGATCCACACTTTGAAAATGAGCCGCCCTCAATCCGTAAAGCTCTTGCAACTTGTTATCATGAGTGCGCGCGGCGCTAAGACGAGAGCCACATTTTGGAAACGGCCCGCCGTCCACTTATGAAACTGGTACAATGTTTCAAACCAATTTTCAATCTTCAGGATGGCAAGCGGGAAGGAAGTCTCAGGCGAAACGCCCAGCCCGCCTTTCCGACTGGCTTCAGGGTGCGATTCGGAGGAATTATGGATAAATAATAAGAATTGTTGGGGTCCTCCTCCTCCTCCTCCTCTTCACTTTCCTCCCACCTCCTCCATGTTCCCTGTACTATCCTATCCTCCTACTTCCTCCTGTTCTTGCGTTCTCTTCATCCTCTGTCTTCTTCTTCTTGCCACATCCATTTTCACTCCTCGATTGTCCCTCCTCCCTTGTCCCTTCTCCCTCCTTGTTCCTTCCTCATCTTGCCTCTTCCTTCATTACTGGCTACCCCCCACCTCTGCAGACGATGACTTCAACATTGATGACACACTAGATGATGAGGACCTGATGGAGGACGGGAGCAAGCCCACCAAGCGCCGCACGAGGCCCAAAAAGGCTTTTTGGGAGGAGAACGCGACCTCGTACATTGACGAGATCATCCCCGTTTTGCGGTCAGACATGAAGGAGGCAGCAACGCAGGTGAGGTTTGCACTGGCCTTGTTCAAGGAGAGGCAGAAGGCAATGGAGACGGCAAAGAGGGAGGCGACTGAGGCCATGAAGGAGCTCCGTCGGGAGGCAGAGAAGCGCCGCCAGTCTGCGGGCCAACGAAGAATGGCCAAGGAGAAGGAGCGCCGGGCAAAGGCAGACTCCATTCGTCTCGCCAAGGAGGCGATGATCAAGAAAGCGCAGGCCCTTGTGGGCGCGAGGGGCATGGAGTCCGAGGGCATCATGAGTTCAGTGTCGCTGGGCATCTTGATGGACGTGCTCATGGCCCTGCCAGAGGCAGTGGAGAACCCTATCTTCAACAAGCGCTTGACAAAGGCGAAGGACCAAGCGGTGACGTCCGTCCAGGACTTCCTCAACATGACGCGCCGCAAGACTTCGAAGTTCGTGCTGGCGGCGGCAAGGGCGTCCGACGTGGAGCTGTCATTCCTCCTGGCGCGATACTTCCACGAGGCCTCCTTCCGCACGAAGGCGTTGCAATCGGAAGGGGAAAAGATTGCCAGGGATCTCAACGTCGTGATGCCCAGGGAGCTGAGGAAGAGCTTCGCGCCCATCGTCAAGGGCCTGCGATCACAGGCGCTCCCATTGTTTCCCACTCCGCGTCCTAGGCGTTCGCTTTTTCTTTCTGGACACCCACCGCGCAGGAACAGGAAGGAGCCTCACCCTGACCCTCCTCCCACCCCTCGCTGTTTTCATTTTCTCCCTATCTTAGTCATAGCTTTCTGGCACTATTCCATCCTCGTCGTAACTCGCATTCTCATCCCCGCCTCTCTCACACATCCCTATATTGTCTTTCATCCTCACGCCCACTCGCATCACATCGCTTCGCTCTCATCCCTGCCCCGGCACCCTCCCTTCACTCTCATCGTCATTGCACGCACCACTTCTGCCCTCGCTTTCACACGCTCCCTTTGATCGTCCCCATCATCACTCTCAGCATAATCCCAAACATCTCGGATCCACGTACTGTAGGTTCGTGTCGTGTCGACCGGCGGCGACCCCGCCGCCGACGTTCAACGTTGAACGCCGACGGCGGCCCAGAATCGGTCGATGTTGAACGATTGGACGTTGCGGAGACGGCCGATCGTTCAAGGTTGAACGATCCAGCGCGGTGTCAGGAACCAACGCCAGGGTCGACACAGCACGAACCTGCAGTAGATGAAGCAAAGTCAGATTCCCACTTCTTGCCCGCCCGCGCGCACCTTCTGTCCGTCGCACTGTGGGGGTAGAGGGAGTGGCCTCAATCGGGGGTTCCCGCCCAGTGGCCTCAATTGGGGCCTCCCTCCCAGCACAACAGCCGTGTTCCCGCGGTCTGTGCCTGCGCACTCACGCGGAGTAGGGTCGTCGGCGAGCTGTGGCAAGGTGATTAGGGTACGGCAGGTTCGCGTCGTGTCGACCTGCGACGACCCCGCCGCCGACGTTCAACGTTGAACGCCGCCGGCGACCCAGAATCGGTCGATGTTCGTTAAGCGATCCGACGTTTCGGAAGCCGCCGATCGTTCAAGGTTGAACGATCCCATCGGTGTCAGGAACCAACGCCCGGGTCGTCACGACACGAACTTGCCGTATCATCCTCCGTGGCACCAGCTCGAGCACGGACGAGTAACGCCCTGGCTGTCCAGACTGGGTCGATTGACCTGCTGCCGCGGCTGTCTTTCAGGAGGGGAAGAAACACACAGACACAATGAATCGTCGATCCCCCAGAAAATATGCGAAAATATGGGAAGTGGGGGGGAAAACGAAAACCCAGAAAATATGGGAAAATATGGGGAATATTTTTATTTGTGTGTATTTATTTGTGTGTTCTGGGGCCCCTTCAGTCTTGCTCCGCCGCGCGGTGCTGTTTCGGCGTGGGCGGTGGTGCTCCGCAGCGGCGCTGGCCTACGGCAGATTCGTGTGGCGTCGACTGGCAGCGACCCCGCCGCCGGCGTTCAACGCTGAACGCCCGCGGCGGCCCAGAATCGGTCGATGTTGAACGATCGGATGTTGCGGGAACGGCCCATCGTTCAAGGTTGAACGATCCCCGTGGTGTCAGGAGCCAACGCCCGGGTCGACACGACACGGATTTATCGTACAATTTCTTGTTGCGGATGCCATCCGGATTGGTTGCGCATTGCACGCGGCCTCTTTTGACCTCGCCAGGAGGACGAGGGGATGGGCCCAGAGTGTCCTGGAGCATGTCGCTCCGGACTTCCAGGTGAGCTTCGTGCGGACTTTTTTCCCTGGCCAGGAAGAGGCAGGCTCCAAGCCCTCCACGTGAAGCTCTCTTCGCTCTTCGCTCTCGCCGTTTTTTGGGGGGCGCTTCTGCGCTGACAGAGATCCGCACAGATCCGCTGCAGCACGTCTGCAGGGCCGGTCACTCAGCGCAGCTTGCAGCTCACCTGAGGCGCCGCTTGGGCAGCTTGGGCAGTTTGGGTACCGCGGCTTTACTTTGCTCTTGTTGTCAATTCGTGGGCCCGCGCCCCGGACTTACGACTCGCCGCTTGCGCTTTCGTCGGAGGGCACCAACTATACACCAACACCGATCCTGGCCCAGGATCACCCTGGGCCCAGGATCGGTGTATATGCCTTCTTGCGCAAGGCAGGAGGGCGTATACGTATGATCCTGCCAGGATCGGTGCTGGTGCCCTCCGATTTCGCCCGCGGCCGCGAACAAAAAAAAACGTCTGCGGGGCCGGTGCGGTGATGGCAGGGCTCCCTTTCGGGGCTCCGGCATGCGCGGCGCCCTGCTCGCGCGGGGAGAGCCGGCCGCGCGCGCGGGCACATGGAGGACTTTTGTTTGGCGGGCGCGGGGCTCGGGCCCAGTCGGGCGCGTCCCTCTGCAGGAGGGAACGTCCACAGATTGGTCAAGAAATCGCAGGGGGGCGATGTGTGGAGTGTATTTTTTTTTGCCATCTGGGAGCGTTTTCTTCTGTATTTTTTCGTTTCTCCTCCAGAATCCCCCTGTGCGCAGTAGGGGGACAGGCCCGACGTAAGGGTACGGGGCTCGTGCAGTGGCACCGTTTTGCGTTCTGGCGCGGTGCGACCTTCGAGGCCCCTGGCGCGCTCTCTTGGACTTGGGAGGATTGTCGGAAGCTGGCGGCTTGCACAGCTACCTGTAGCGGGCTGTTTTTCAATCGCTGGATTTTTTGAGGGTCAGAGATGACGCCGGGGCGGTGTGGTGTATACTCGTTTCCCCGTTCCCCCCGGGGAAAGCGAAACATGTATACACCAGGATCCCATGTACACCAGGATCCGCCTTCCTGTGCGAAATTCAGTGCGGGGCCAGAAAACGCGTCGGTGTACAGAGTTTGGCCCTTTAGCTTGGTGTGATGAGAATTTCTTGCCCCTGCCACAGGGTTGGAGACCTGGGAGACTTGGAATCGTGGGAATTGTGTTCAACCGGGGTACACCATTGTCTGGACCTGGAAGACACTATCTTCGAGCGCGCACGCACGGAAAGCACCCGTAACGGTCTTGGGACGTACCTTTGTGTTGGGGGCGAACATCTTCTTACAGGCATTCAGGGAATGCACCCAGATTGGCACGATCAGGGAATGCGCTATTGTTTGGGTTTGTGGCGCAACATGTTCCTTCAGACACTGGCATAATGAACCCATCCTGGGACGCACCGTTGTCTGGGCCATCTGGACTTGGGCCCCTCCATACTGGAGCAAGCACGAACAAAGTGACCTCGGAAAGTTCCTGAGACGCACCATTGCCTTGACGTTAGGCGCATCACCCTCGAGCGTGCACGATGGAACTCATTGCGCTGGGGTGTCCGCGTCAGGACCAGGTGACCCTTTGGGGGGGGGGCGGTTCTACAGGGACAAGACCTGACAACCGCTAGAGCCCGAGATAATAGCGAGGCGCTGGTAGGAGGAAAAACCGGGTAACAAGTGAGTGTGTGTGTGCGTGTGTGTGTGTGTGTGTGTGTGTGTGTTTGTGTGTGTGTGCGTGTGCGTGTGCGTGTGCGTGTGCGTGTGCGTGTGCGTGTGCGTGTGCGTGTGCGTGTGCGTGTGCGTGTGCGTGTGCGTGTGCGTGTGCGTGTGCGTGTGCGTGTGCGTGTGCGTGTGCGTGTGCGTGTGCGTGTGCGTGTGCGTGTGCGTGTGCGTGTGCGTGTGCGTGTGCGTGTGCGTGTGCGTGTGCGTGTGCGTGTGCGTGTGCGTGTGCGTGTGCGTGTGCGTGTGCGTGTGCGTGTGCGTGTGCGTGTGCGTGTGCGTGTGCGCGTGCGTGTGCGTGTGCGCGTGCGCGTGCGTGTGCGCGTGCGCGTGCGTGTGCGTGTGCGTGTGCGTGTGCGTGTGCGTGTGCGTGTGCGTGCGCGTGCGCGTGCGCGTGCGCGTGCGCGTGCGCGCGCGCGTGCGCGTGTGCGTGTGCGCGTGCGCGTGCGCGTGCGCGTGTGTGCGTGTGCGCGTGCGTGTGCGCGTGCTCGTGCGCGTGTGCGTGTGCGCGTGCGCGTGTGCGCGTGTGTGCGTGTGCGTGTGCGTGCGCGTGGGCGCGCGGGCGGGCGGGCGGGCGGGCGGGCGGGCGTGCGTGCGTGCGTGTGCGTGTGCGTGTGCGTGTGCGTGTGCGTGTGCGTGTGCGTGTGCGTGTGCGTGTGCGTGTGCGTGCGCGTGCACGTGCGCGTGCGCGTGTGCGCGTGTGCGCGTGTGCGCGTGTGCGCGTGTGCGCTTGTGCGCGTGTGCGCGTGTGTGCGTGTGCGCGTGTGTGCGTGTGCGAAAGTGTGCGTGTGTGTGCGTGTGTGTGTGTGTGTTTGCTCGTTTGCGCATGTCAATCAAAAAATCACAGGCGCTTCCGCTACGTGTGAACGCCAGCGGTCTTGCACAAGCAACCATCACCGAAGCTTGCGCAGAGATGGGGTCTCTGATGGCGAACATTAGCGACTACAACAATAAGTTGGCCAACATGCACAGCTCAATGCACGACGTCTGGCAGATCACCGAGCTGATGCTGCCGAAAATGGGCAACATCTACCCCATGAAGCCCATCGTGGTAGACACCGTCAAGGCCGGGCCCATGTCGATTCGATCGATCTGGTACGATGTCGAATTCACCTGGCTCGATCCGAATCGATTTCGAGTTCTCGTGGATCTGTTGCAGCCCGATGCCTGCGCAGCTTAGTTGCGTATCAGGGCGGAGCCGATTCGATTCGATTTCGACCCTGAGCCGATGGAGCCCGATTCGATGCCCGCTCTGGTCCGGCTGGAGTTCGCGAGCCGATGCTGGCCGACCCCGCAAGGACATGATGTCAATGGCGACCAACCAGGTCGCCGGCCTCTCGGAAGCCGCGGACGAGATCGTGACGAACGTCGGCCCCATCGTCGCCGAGCGCCTGCAGTGCACCTGGAGCGCCGCGCTCCCGCGCTCCCTCGCGGGCCGGGCCGCGCTGCTCGCGGCCCTCGCCGGCTACCTCTTCGCCTGAGGCGCCCCTCGCCGGCTACCTCTTCCCCCCCTTCCTCCTCCTCCTCCTCCTCCTCCTCCCTCCTCCTCCTCCTCCTCCTCCTCCTCCTCCTCCTCCTCCTCCTCCGTCCTCCTCCTCCTCCGTCCTCCTCGTCCTCCTCCTCGTCGTCCTCCTCCTCCTCCTCCTCCTCCGTCCTCCTCTTCCATCCTCCTCCTCCTCCTTCGCCTCCGCGTTTCTGGTCCAGAGCGACGCGGCAAGCTCGTATTTCTTACACTTTTCTGCTTGTGTAGAGGAGCGGCCGAGCGGGGCGCGGGTAGTCCCGTCGGCTGGACAGACTTTTGTCAGCATCTTCTGCCTTTGCCTCCCTCTCTCCCTCCCTCTCCCTCCCTGTCCCACCCTTCCCCCCATCCATCCTCCGCCTCCTCCTCCTCCTGCCCTCTCACTGACCCTCCCCCATCCTCCTGCTTCTCCGCCTCCTTCTTCACTCCTTTCCGCCCTCCCTCCTCCTGCCCCCCTGGCGAACGAGGTCGACTACCAATGTTCCTCCTGATGCGGGGGAGGAAGGAAGGAGGAGGAGGAGGAGGAGGAGGAGGAGGAGGAGGAGGAGGAGGAGGAGGAGGAGGAGGAGGAGGAGGGAGAGAAAGGAAGGAGGAGGAGGAGGAGAGACATGGAGGAGGAGAGGAGGAGGAGGAGGAGGAGGAGGAGGAGCAGGAGCAGGAGCAGGAGGGAGGAGGACGCGGACGAGGTCTCCCGGGAGAGGGGCCCCGCCTCCCCGCGCCTGCCCGGGGCGCCCCGCGTCTCCCGGCGCGGCCCCGAGCGCTCGGGCGCTCCCGCCGTGCTCGGCGCTTTGGCCGTTGGCAGAGGCGCGCCTCGTCGGCAGGGCCCTCAGGCCGTCGAGGGGCCCCCCCCTTTCAGGAGGGGGAACAAACGCGCAGACACAATGAATCGTGCACTTTTTCTCGGCGGGGGTTATCAAGGAGCATCCTGGATCGCCCCCAAGAGGCCCCAACAGGCGTCCAACAACACCAAATGATGCCACAAAACTACCCCCAAGAGGCCTCAAAACTACCCCCAAGGTTTCTCGGCGGGGATTATCAAGGAGCACTCTGGATCATCCTGCGAGAAAAAAATATGGCCGGAGTGGAGTATCCCCAAACAGGGTTTTTAGACCCACTGCGGCTTCCAAGGTCGATTGCGTGCCCGTCCAGTGCGGGCTGGCATGGCATGTTAAAACATGCCTCCTTTTCCTCCTCCTCCTGCTGCTCCTCCTCCTCCTCCTGCTCCTCCACCTCCTCCTCCTCCTCCTCCTCCTCCTCCTCCTCATCTACTTCCTCTTCATCCCGAACGACATCTCGGAGCCCAGAGTTGCGCGGATGTCTCCAGCGTGACGGGCTGGACCACCTCGCGCGCGGCATTTCGGACCCCAGAGTTGCGACGATGTCTCGGGCGAAACGTGCTGCGAGGAAGTCTCAGGCGAAACGGGCCAGACCACCTCGAGCGCGGCGTCTCAGAGCTCCGAGTTGCGGGGCCTCCTGGGGCCTCCTGGGACCTCCTGGTGACCTCCTGGGACTTCCTCCTGGGCCTCCTGTGGCCTCCTGGACCCCGCCTGGGGCTTCCTGAAGCCTCTTGGAGCTCCCAGTGGGGGATATCTAACATGTGGCCGTCAGGGCCCCCCAAAATGGGGAGGGGGGGGGCCACAAGAGCAGGAAAAATCAACGAATCGACACCGGATGTGTATTAACTTGACACGTTCTGACATTGTGGCCGCGCGCGGCGTCGGCCGGAGACGGCCTCAGTAACCTCAGTTCACCTCAGTAACTTCAGTAACTCAGTTCACCTCAGTTAACCTCAGTAACCTCAGTTCACCTCAGTAACTTCAATTCACCTCAGTAACCTCAGTTCACCTCAGTAACCTCAGTTCACCTCAGTTAACCTCAGTTAACCTCAGTTAACCTCAGTTACCCTCAGTAACCTCAGTTAACCTCAGTTAACTTCAGTTAACTTCAGTAACCTCAGTTCACCTCAGTTCACTTCAGATAACCACAGTGAGCCACCGTGAAGCCCAATTACCATATATTAGCCTCTGTTCACCCCAGTTAACTGCGTTATCCCTTGATGCAAGAAACTGAGGCGGAAACTGGGGCTAATCTGAGTGTAACAGCGGGCGCCCCGTTGTCAACACCTTCCTTCGCCCCCTCATTAACCCAGTTAACCTCAGTTTTTTTTTCTCCTCCCGATGCAAGAAACTGGGGGAACTCAGGGGAAACTGATAGGGGGCCTCCTGGAGCCTCCTGGGAGCCTCCTGGGAATCTCCTGGGGACCCCGTGGGCCTGTCCTGGGCGTCCTGCGGCCTCTTGAAGCTCTCTGGGGCCTCCTGGGAGCCACATGTGGTCTTCTGGGCCCCCAGGCTGGACCACCTCTTGCGCAGCATCTGAGAGCTCAGAGTTGCGAGAATGTCTTGTGCGAAACGGGCCGGACCACCTTGCGCACGGCATCTCAGAGCTCAGAGTTGCGAGGATGTCTCAGGCGAGATGGGCCGGACCACCTCGCGCAGGGCATCTCGGAGCCCAGAGTTGCGCGGATGTCTCCAGCGTGACGGGCTGGACCACCTCGCGCGCGGCATTTCGGACCCCAGAGTTGCGACGATGTCTCGGGCGAAACGTGCTGCGAGGAAGTGTCAGGCGAAACGGGCCGGACCACCTCGAGCGTGGCGTCTCAGAGCTCCGGGTTGCGGGGGCCTCCTGGGGCCTCCTGGGACCTCCTGATGACCTCCTGGGGCTTCCTCCTGGGGCTCCTGTGGCCTCCTGGACCCCGCCTGGGGCTTCCTGAAGCCTCTTGGAGCTCCCAGTGGGGGATATCTAACATGTGGCCGTCAGGGCCCCCCAAAATGGGGAGGGGGGGGCCACAAGAGCAGGAAAAATCAACGAATCGACACCGGATGTGTATTAACTTGACACGTTCTGATAGGGGGCCTCCTGGGGCCTCCTGGGAGCCTCCTGGGAATCTCCTGCGGACCCCTGGGGCCTGTCCTGGGCGTCCTGCGGCCTCCTGAAGCTCTCTGGGGCCTCCTGGGGCTCCCAGGGTCCCAGGGGGGATATGTAACATGTGGTCTTCTGGGCCCCCAGGCTGGACCACCTCTTGTGCAGCATCTGAGAGCTCAGAGTTGCGAGAATGTCTTGTGCGAAACTGGCCGGACCACCTTGCACACGGCATCTCAGAGCTCAGAGTTGCGAGGATGTCTCAGGCGAGATGGGCCGGACCACCTCGCGCAGGGCATCTCGGAGCCCAGAGTTGCGAGGATGTTTCAGGCGAAACGGGCTGGACCACCTCGCGCGCGGCATCTCGGACCCCAGAGTTGCGACGATGTCTCGGGCGAAACGTGCTGCGAGGAAGTGTCAGGCGAAACGGGCCGGACCACCTCGAGTGCGGCGTCTCAGAGCTCCTAGTTGCGGGGGCCTCCTGGGACCTCCTGATGACCTCCTGGGGCTTCCTCCTGGGACTCCTGTGGCCTCCTGGACCCCACCCGGGGCTTCCTGAAGCCTCTTGGAGCTCCCAGGGGGGGATACCTAACATGTGGCCGTCGGGGCCCCCCAAAATGCACAAGAGCAGGAAAAATCAACGAATCGACACCGGAAGTGTATTCACTGGACACGTTCTGATAGGGGGCCTCCTGGGAGCCTCCTGGGAGCCTCCTGGGAATCTCCTGGAGACCCCTGGGGCCTGTCCTGGGCGTCCTGCGACCTCCTGAAGCTCTCTGGGGCCTCCTGGGGCTCCCAGGGTCCCAGGGGGGATATGTAACATGTGGTCTTCTGGGCCCCCAGGCTGGACCACCTCTTGTGCAGCATCTGAGAGCTCAGAGTTGCGAGAATGTCTTGTGCGAAACTGGCCGGACCACCTTGCACACGGCATCTCAGAGCTCAGAGTTGCGAGGATGTCTCAGGCGAGACGGGCCCGGTGTCTCGGGCGAAACGCGCTGCGAGGAAGTCTCAAGCGAAACGGGCCGGACTACCTCGAGCGCGGCGTCTCAAAGCTCCGAGTTGCGGGGGCCTCCTGGTGCCTCCTGGGGCCTCCTGCGGACCTCCTGGGGCTTTCTCCTGGGCCTCCTGTGGCCTCCTGAACTCCACCTGGGGTTTCCTGAAGCCTCTTGGGGCTCCCAGGAGGGATATCTAACCTGTGGCCGCTTGGGCCTCTCAAAATGGAGGGGGGCACAAGAGCAGGAAAAATCAACGAATCGACACCTGATTTGTATTAACGTGACACGTTCTGATAGGGAGCCCCCTGGGGCCTCCTGGGAGCCTCCTGGGAACCTCTTGGAATTATCAAGGAGCATCCTGGATCATCCTGCGAGAAAAAAACACGCGCGAAACCGAAAAAAAACACAGGGAAAGGACGCCCGAGCGAGGGCCAGCTGGGGACTCTTCGCAGCCCCCTGGGGGGCGAACTCCAGATGGGGGATGAGCTCGGGCCTGGGGGCCTCCGACAACGTGCTCTGGCACCGACTGTCAGGAGGGGAAAAAACACGCAGACACAATGAATCGTCGATTCCCCAGAAAATATGGAAGAATATGGGAAGTGGGGGGGGAAGACAAACACCCAGAAAATAAGGGAAAACGTGGTGAATCCTTTTACTTGTGTCTGTTTATTTGTGTTCCCCAGGGCCCCTTCAGAGGCCCCCTCCCTCCCCGACCCCCTCTGGAGTTGAGTCGGGCCTGTCCCTCCACAGGAGGAGTGCTAAAAAGTAATGAAACAATAGTCTGGGGACAGTTTTTTTGACTGTGCTTGGCCATGCTTTGAGCCTTGTTGGGGTACTTGTCATTGCTCGTCCCAAATCCCCCTGTAGGGGGACACGCCCGACGTAACTCTGGAGCAGTGGTGGGAAGGGGGGGGGAGGAGGATGTCTGGGGACCCTCCAGCAGCTGGGTATGACTGCCCAGCGGGCCCCGGATCACACGCGCGACAGGAGGAGGTCGGACGAGGAAGGTATCGGAGGAGGAGGCGGGGCATGGCCACCGTCGGGCCCG